TAATGTCAAATTATCTACTGTTAAGACTCATTGATTCGTTGACCAAAGCAATTTGTCCTGCTTTGAATGAGATCATTAATATTGATGAGTGTTTGAATTTTTACAAATGATTTTGAATTTCACCATTTTTATGGCCAATACTTGGAGTTGACAGAAAGGTTTAAACTAACGAATGCTTGTTTTCACACCAATGTTGTAGCTAGAACTCCCATTCACCAATTTATAATTGTTCTCCTCTTGATAAGCATTTGATTCTTCCCTGAGTCCTTGGAGCCTAGCACAGTCCCTGGCATACGTTAAGCATCCAATAAGTGCTCCTTGACTTATAATCATAAGAATGTTCATTCTTAAATATATTTATATATTGATTGATACTTATGGTATTTTAAAATAGTACTTTGAATGTAAATTTGCATTGTAGAGTTCTGGAATTAAAGAATTCTTTTGTTTTTTTTTTTTTTCCCCCTCTGAAGTGGTTTAATTTTTAGAAATAAGTATAAAGTAACTTTCTGATATTTTATCCTGGAAAAGCTGGGGAAGTTACAATGGCTATGGGGAAAATGAATTTTTTTAGGGAGTTGGGTGTTTTTATATTTTTCTGAAGCCAAAGTCTATTGAAATGAACACAGGCTTAATAAATAAGTAAAATATAATGTAAAATTTACACCAAAGGCATCAAAAGAAAGCTAAGTTCCATAGCTACAGTATTTGTAGTGATTTGGTTGAATTCCAAAATAAAATTATTTATTCAACTGAGAACAAGCTCTGTTAGGAGACGTCTAGCCTTAAGTTGCTTCTGAGAATTACAATTAGAGTAATATTTTCACTCATTGCATTTGAGAAACTGCCTATTTATTTCCTGCCCTTCTTCCCCCACCCCCCAACCAGAGCCCCCTCCTGGGCATGCTACCAACGCCATGCTTTAAAGCTTACTTTTTTTTAATAATAGATGGGAAATCTTCTCCTCCGCCTTCCTAGAACTTGAAGCTTGGATCTAAAACAAAAGCCCACAAAATAGTAGAAAAATGTAAAGGCATAATTGTCTGACTCATTTTGCATGGTAATATTATTTTTCTGGTTTGACCAAGATATATATTATATCATGAGTTCCTATGTTTTTCCCTCTACATATAACCAATAACGCAATGCCTTGGTTTAACTTTAAATTCCCCAGCATGTACACTGTTTATGTCAGTTTTGTGGAATACAGCTGGGTGATAAGATCCTGTTCTGGTTCTAACACAGTGTCAGCATGTGACCTCGGACAAGTTGTTTAGTCTCTACTCCGCCCTTCACCTCTTTGGATTAACTAGATAATTAGACCATCCTTTGTTTCATAAAAGGAAAATGATGTGAATATTAAGAAACTTAAATAATTGGATATGATCCAATGAACCAAGTTGGTGCTCCAACTTGGGCAAGCTAATAAATTCCAGAGCCCTCTCCAGGGCAAACAGTGCCTCCACCAAAGCCCAAGTAAACAACATGGGAAGATGACAAGCCCCACTTCCTCCTATCATTCCCCATTCCCTCCTCCAGCCTATCACTATGACAGTCACCGTTAGTCTCTGGCCAACGCCCACCTGAAGATGGAAGGAAGATGTTCACACGTGTAACCTCCTCTCTCACAAGTGCTTGCTCCTTTCAGGGGAAACTTCTCATCTGTCATCCATCACTCACAATTTAGTGAATCTCATCTTAAAACCTCTCATGAATACATATTTATACATTTATTTGCCTACAAATTCTTTTGCTCTCTGCCTTTATTACCTAAGCAAAATCTCAGAACACTTTTCCATTTCACTTGTGAGAAACAAAGTCTCAGTCTTGTGTTAGATGTATGAGTGAAAATAAGGATGTCCTTCTCTAAGCAAAAGAAAAGCTTGGGGCTTTAATGTTACATTCAACTTATTAAAAAATAGTGATATCCACCTCTAAAGTCTTGAAGGCTATTGGTTCTATTTGGAATTTCTGCAATTCCATGGTGTTTAAAAACGTAAACCTATGTATCAGTTATCACAAGCAGTCAAAATATACATAGAATGTTTTAGCTTTCAGTTTTCCTTGTATAGTTATAGCAGGGCAAATATATTGTGTGATGGAAACATAACATCTAAACATGTAAAGAAAGAAGAGAGGAGGGAACAAATGACTGTGGGGGAAGATTCTGGGGTAGGGGGTGGAAATCAGGAAAGTCCTTACAAAGAAAAGGATGCTTGAAGTGGACTTTATGATTTGAATTCAAACATTTTTATTTCTTTTCTTTTGTAAAGATTTTTAATGTTTTTAAAAAATTTATTGTTGAGAGAGAGACAGAGCATGAGCGAGGGAGGGGCAGAAAGAGGGGGTGACAGAGAATCTGAAGCAGGCTCCAGGCTTTGAGCTGTCAGCACAGAGCCCGATGCGGAGCTCAAACCCACAAACTATGAGATCATGACCTGAGGTGAAATAGGACTCTTAACCAACCAAACCACCCCGGTGCCCTGTTTTATTTTTTTACTTGTATTTTTTAAATTTTTATTTATTTATTTTGAGAGGGAGACAGAGAGACAAAAAGACAGAGAAAGAGAATGGGGCAGAGAGAGAGAGAGAGAGAGAGGGAGATAGAGAACCCCAAGAGGGTTTTGTGTCAGCTCAGAGCCTGATACGGGGCTGGATCCCACAAACTGTGATATCAAGAGTCAGATGCTTAACCAACTGAGCCACACAGGCACCCCTGAATTAAACCATTTTTAGTTGGCCCAGTCAAAGAAAGACATTCTAAGCATCAGGCAAAACTCAGAGGTAAGGCACCACTTGAAGCATTTTGAGGAACAGGAAGTTGTTAGCATTGTCAAAGTGTGAATTGTGTGAGAGTTCTGAGGCAAGGGAGAGAAAGGTTGAGAGAGAAAGAAAGAGAGATAGTGAGAGAGAGAGAGAGAGAGAGAGATCATTATATGTCTTGATTTTTTTTTTTTTTACATAAAACCTGTACACTAACTGAATACAGCCTAAACTGTATCTTTCTAAAAATGGAAACATGCCAGATTTTTGGAACTATTCTCCAAGTGTTCCTGAGACCCTCACTGTCACACTGTTCTTGGTAGAATGGCACAGAGCACCTGATTCAGGGAGGAGCTGCAGCATCAGGGACAGGACAGGAGGAAGTGGGAGATGATTTGGAAAGTGAAGCAACTTGTCTTTGGGGCCGCACCACATGGCTCAGGCCGCATACATGGATGAAAGGTTCTCATGCCCATGCCAGCACGGGAGAGCCCTCATTTCCTTGAGAATGCCGAGGCAGGGAAGACGAGGAGGCAGACCTCCTTGGGGAAGGTGTCTGGGAGCCAAAGTGGCTGCTGAGAGATTCTGCCGAGAGTGAGGCAGTGGTCCAGGGATAAATTAAGACTCCGCTAGTCAGCTTTGCAATGTCCTGAAAAATGTCCCTTTTAAGTGAGAAAGAGTTCCAGAAGTTCTATTTTCTGTCTGTAGTGTTGCTTTTTTCAAGAATTAACACCCCCCCCACTCACATGTAATGTAAATAACAACATAAACCTATCCCCAACACCTGCTAACGTCTCTTGAATTAGGTAGTTTTATCAAAAGCGCAATTTGAAATATGAATTTTAATCATGTAATTTACTGAAACAGTTAAAGCATCACAGTGAAGTTGTCTGTCCAGGTGGGTTTTTCTATCTGTCTTGTACGACTCACATGAAATATGGGATGGCTTTGGCATTACCTCATTTCTTCTGACCAAGACCCATTTCTCTGGGCATCCATCTCCCATTTGCCACATAAACCTCAGCCTCACTGGTTTTCTCCTCATCCCTAAGTACTCATGTTTACTAGACACTAACACTATTTTGTTTCCCTTCCTTTCAAATCTTTTTTTTTTTTTTTATGGTTCAGAACATTATTTTGTAATGATATTCTTTTTAGATTATTAGGTAACTTAAAAAAGTTTCTGCAAAAATTGTTAAAAATAAAAGGAGGCATATTTTGATTTCTTAGTCTCTTTCCCTGTAGGAAGAGAGAGGTAATTTTTGATCTATCTTTCCCATCTAGGCTCCTACCTCTCACCACCAACGGTATGTCAGGATTCCATTGCATAGGGCTAGCCAAGACTCAAACGCATAAACACATGCTCATATTTGTTCTTCTAAAGTGAACCACCACTTTCCAAATATCTACCAACACATTCCCCAAAGGAAGAGAGCGCATTGCGACCAGTTACACTTTCTTAGTTTATGGTTTTATCAGAGCCTCTGGGGATCCTTCGCAGGGATCCTAGCTGTCTTGGTGGTTGTGGTGCTGACTGTCAGAAAGGTTCTCCACGACTGTCCTAAACACAGCACATTCTTATAACATGACAAAGTCCCAATGAGTCATCATTTCCACATTTGTGAGGGAGTTGATTTTTCCTGGTATCAGTAGGGGAACCTGTATTATTGACTGTCACCTCCAAAGGGGGAATCGAGGCAAGCGAGTTTGCTGACTTTCCAGGACATATAAAGCTTCCAGGCCACTCGGTCCTGGGAACACGATACATGTTGTAGCTCCATAGTTAAAAATCGGAAGCCGTATTTTACTTTACAAAAAGCGTGACAAAGAGCAGCCCAGCAAGAATATCGTTTGAGAGAGAATTCTGACTTATCAATAAGGAATTGCAGAGGCAGGATAGCCAGTTAAGAACATCTAATTCCACCACCACCTTCTTTTGGGGGGACTGAAGTTCAGGAAATTTCACTTGTTTAAGCCGCAGGGCGAGTGTGATCGCAGCCCAGAGCCCAGGTTACTGGATTCCCAGTCTATTAATGCTCCTCCTACCACATCCTTCTTAATTTTAAGATGCATTTCTACGATGGCGCAAACATTCATTAATCACAGCCCTCGAACCCCGTTGCTGCACTTGGTCTTCCTTCCTTCTCCCGTTTTTCTGGCTTGGGCTCTGCAAGGAAGGGACCCAAAGCAATTGGACTTGGCTCTGTTACCTCTCTCGCACCTCACAGTCGATTTACCTGCAAAGCTGTGGAGGGCATCTTCGTTCTCCAGAACGCCCCTCTGCTTGGTCGCCTGCAGCTCACTTTTGGATTTCCAGACCAGCTTTACCATCCTGATCATCTCGGGCAAGTCCCAGGGCAGCGGCCCCTGCTGGCACCCCGGCCGGCCGCCCGCCGAGGAGGGCAGCGCACCTTCTGGGGCCGTCCACCTCCTGCCCAGCTCTGCCGAGTGGAAGTAGCGCTCGAGGACAGGCATTCTGCCCCGTCCCCCCGCGGAGGAGCTGGGGCCGCTGCTGCCGGGGCCGCCGCGGCTGCCGCCGCCGCCAGACGGGAGAGTCTTCCCAGGCAGGGGAAGGCGAAGCCCCGGGAAATCTCCTCCAGCTCCGGAAAGGCAAGCCTCCTCCAGCCTGGCACAGCCTCCCTGTCGCTCAGGCGCTCGCAAACACTGACGACGCGGCGACTCACTTCCCCAGGTTTCTCGCCGGTGAGAAGTGTCACCGCGCGCCCTCCTTGGAGACGAGCGCACTCCCCCCCCCCCCCCCCCCCCCCCCCCCCCCCCCCCCAGCTCTCCCGGGCACTGGCGGCACCGCGCTTAATTAATCCCAGGCTACCGCTGGGACGGCGGCTGGGGGGAAAGCCATCGAGGCTCTAGCGTTTGCCTCTCCTCTTCGGATTCATTTGTTCTTCATTCTCTTCTGGTGCTTGTCAAAGTTTGTCAAGTGGCTCGTCTCCAGGCCAGGAAGCGGGGCTTCTCTTTGCCAGCTTCCCAGAGGGGTCTTCCAGAGGCGGGTGGGTTATCTGAAGGTGTCAGGTGAAGAGTTCCTCCCCCGCCCCCCCCCCCCGACCCCCAGGGGTGCAGGAAGCCTAGAAGCTTCCCTGGCCCCAGCCCTGCAAGTCCCAAGGAGCTCTCGGAAAACGGGAAGCTGAGCACTGGCAGAACCAATTTGCAGCTGCTGCTCTCTGGAAGGTCTGGCGGGGGGCCACCTTGCCTGTCCACTGTCTGCACTGGGATGGGGTTAGGCAGAAGGCTCTGGGATTGATCCTCAGCCCCACAGTTCACACACTCCCTTCCCCCACGCCCCTCCCCCTCGCTGTCTTTTGGTTCTCAGCAAACCTAACTGGGTTTTGGCCTATTGGTCAAATCCCTTCGTAACCTCAGCTGCCCTTCAGCTGGAAGGGAAATAACATTGAATCACATCCCAAAGCTAACTCTGAAAGAAGTGAATTAGGGAAGCACCAAGATCCTCACGCGATCGTGCAGAGGGGTTGCATAGTCTGGATAGGTACTTTGGGCCTGTTAAAAACCCGTCTCAAAGGAAAACTGTAATAATTTTAAAGGCTATTCATGGGGGGCATACGTGGCAGTGAAAAGAATGGAGAGAGCGTTGAAGATCCACTTTCCAGAGACAGAGTGCTGTGGACTTAATATTTGGGTCACTAACTGCTCTGCCACCACCGGCGAGGGGTTCAGTTGAGGACAGTCCTGGGCCAGGCGCAATTCGGGTCCCACGCTCAGGTGGAGAAACCATCCCTGGAAGTCAGAGCCAGACAACAAAAGGGGGTGCCCCCTGTAGCTTATGTGAAAAGCCCCAGACATAAATGAAAGCCGGGTGGTATTGTGTTGGGCACTTTTGTCAGCAAACTGGGTTTGTAGGAACAATTTGAAGTTGAACATTCATGCGGATAGCTCCTGTTTTCTTGGAGGCCATTGCAACAAGCCCATCTTTTTCTCCTCTTCACATCTCTGCCATTGCAAAGGGCTTTATTTTGCTTGGCATTTTGTTTTGCTGATGTACAATCTGTTGCTCCTGTTCTACATTCCTTGTGGGGCATGTTTATCACACAATCATTTGATGTTTCTTTAGGGGAGAGAAGAGAAGACTTCAGGGAAAGGAAAAAGACCATTGTAAGGTGTGTTTTATTTCCATTGCCCTCGCGTCATTTTTTACAATGGGGAAACCAGCAAAGGCTACTGTAATTTTGTTGTTGTTATTATTCCTCTAAATCTATGGTTAATAAGTTTAGTTTTCCACACTGAGTTAAATGGCTTTTCTTTCTCTCTGGATGGAAAAATACACTGGTAAACCTACTTTCTTTCCTACTAGGTGAGGAAGTATCAACATCTTTGAAGGTATAAAACAACAATAAAAGACATTGAAGACACTGCCGTTTGTGAATTTCATTATTGAAATACTGGTCAGACTGCCCTTCCTGTAACAACAAGATATTCACTAGCCCAATTACGGGAAAATCAGTGTTCCACTTATGAGAAAGATGTGCCTTAAAAATTTTTTTTGTTTATTTATTAACTTTAAGAGAGAGAGAGAGAGAGCGCATGAGTGGGGTAGGGACAGAGAGAGAGGGAGAGAGAATTCTAAGCAGGCTCTGTGCTGACACAGTGCAGAGCCTGATATGGGGCCTGAACCCACGAACTGTGAGATCATGACCTGAGCTGAAATCAAAAGTCAGACGCACAAAGGACTGAGCCACCCAGGAGCCCCTAACTTACCTCTTTGTTAAGAGAAGAAGGGATTTAAGAATCAGTGTGATACTTCCAACTACTTTTGACAGCCCTTCCAGCTCTTATCTTAAGCTTGTATCAGACCTGGGCATCAAGGCTCTCTACATTTGAAACGATTTTATTTAATAAGCACACGTAGGCTGTTGCTCTCTATTAGCATATTTCCTGAATAATGTCTTAAACTCGCTCCTCAGTCACAAACTTCCTTGACATAACAACTGAAGAGTTTCCTAAGTGTTTAACTATTTTTATTTTTGTTCAGTTATTTTGCAGTAGTACTTAGCGTCAGGATATCCTGACCCTTGGAACAAAGGGGTTAAGAACAAAGAAAACAAATATATGATATAATATGTCACATACACTAATGCATTAAGAATACAACTTTTCATGGAACATTTCTTCCAGAATGACATTTTTAAAAATCCAAGCACATAAATTTCCCCTGTGTTCTCTGTATTGTTTTACACATTTCCTTGTAAAAATATCTTAGAGAAGTTACAAAATGTTGGATCACTGAACATGAATACTTCCTAGTGGAGAGGAGTTAAGGCCAAGCAAGCACCATCTCAAATTTTCATTCCCAAGAAGGAATCTACTTTGTTTGAAAGTTTGAAAATTGAAAAGTTTGCAGGAAAAAAATTCTCCTCAATATGGGATTATCTTCATCCCAGGGTAGAAGAGCAAAAATACCACAAGAAAGGTCATTCTCATGGTATTTCTGTCTCACATAGAAACAGGAAGTACAGGAAATCTTGCGGGAAAGCTTGGCTCAGGAGATTTTTGGCTCAACTGCAGGCTCGAGATATTGGGATAAACTGACAAAATGTTAGTACTCAGACTAAAATTATTATGCACACACATTCTCTAACAGGTGGTTTTGTTATATTTCATAGGCAGTGATATATTTTGTCCTTCCGATAATTGCTTTGGAAGAGCGTGTCTGTAACCCTACAATTTTAAGCTTCCTAAGTGGGCATCATTCACCTTAAGATTGTACCTGAAGCCAGAAGTTTGGATCACTGGGGCTGGTGATGAGCCTCTGTACCCAGAGGAGTCATGGAGAAAAGAGGTCACACCTATGTGACTTGTGAGGATTATTACAAATCATAATATCCGCAACTAATGTGCTACAGAGATGACATTTTAAACTTTCAAAATAACTCATTTTTTATTTCAGGCATTGCAAGCCAACCTAACTTTGTATTAAAAGGAAAATAGGGTAGTTCTTTTCTTGTGTAAAAGACATGTAATGAGAACTAACCAAGTCAAAAACAGTTTGTTCCAATGGATACCTAATTCGACCAAAAAGACTTTGTTACGTGTTTGCAGCTATAAAGGAAAGAATTGGTAACCATAATACTAAAGGATATAGCCAAGAACAAAGATTCAAAGACATAATGATTTAGAACATGGATTATTCTGAAGAATTTCTATCGTTTTGGAGACTATGTTAAAATCTTACAGGGGCGCCTGAGTGGCTTAGTCGGTTAAACGTCCGACTTTCGCTTAGGTCATGATCTCGCGGTTCGTGGGTTCGAGCCCCGTGTCGGGCTCTGTGCTGACTGCCAGCTCAGAGCCTGGAGCCTATTTCAGAGTCTGTGTCTCCCTCTCTCTCTGATCCTCCCCTGCTCATGCTGTCTCTCTCTCTCTCTCTCCTAGAAATAAATAAAAATATTAAAAAAAAAATAAAATCTTACAGACTGTGGGTGTTCTGGTGATTAAGCAGGTAATATATATGATTTTAAAAAGAAAATATTAACAATATTAAATATCTCTAAATACTTTAAGAAATGCATTTTTAATGGAAACTTGGAAATATATATTTCAATTTTTTATAATTTTGAATCTATCTACAGATTCCCACAAAACTTCATTTCAATGGAAATCTTCTCACTCAGATATTTTGACAATACTTCATACACTTATTAAACTGTATTCTGCTTCTAGATTTAAAGAAAAATTTCAAACTATTGAGGGAGTTTATTAATTTTGTCCTGGCCTTTCCTCTCTATCAGTTCAAATACAGATGTATAAACACACGCGCGTGCGTGCGCGCGCGCGCACGCACACACACACATACACACACACACACACATACACACACAGGACCACCCTGGTTTCCCAAATGCAATTCAAATGAAATTCAAAATCATCAAGGAAGGAAAAACAGGTCTTTCAACTTTGTTTAATGTTGTCTAAGTAGAAGAAGCTCAAACAATTTACAGTGTCCTTCGAAAGAAATAGAGATGTAATAACTTTGACCTTAACTAATCTCAAGGAACGTTGCCAACAAATAGGGAAAGGGACTTGGCCTGCAGATGGACCACGTTAGGAAGCGTTTGTCTCCACTGTCACATGGAAAGGGAGGAGTGTGGACGGTGCAAGATGAGAGGAAAGATGAGGTAGGAAAAGTAGATTCACAGTTTGATTTCACAACAAGTATGTAAACTACAATCAAGCCTTCTCTTATTCACTCTGCAAATGTGTATTAATAGCGAAAGCACAAGCAGAAGGGAGAACCTTCTGCACAACCCTTTTCAGGGACCAGGGGCCTGCCTGGCTTCCCCGCCCCAGGTTTGGGTTTTCACTGTGAGTTACCACTTCTTTGCATTACACATTTAAAGAGAGAAACCAGGGTTTTCACTGGAACTAGCATGAGATCTCTATCTTGGCTCTCAGACATCTTAACTAAGTTTACTGTTTCTGACAATTAACCCACAACAAAGGAGTCCAATAACCCAGGGATTGAG